GTTTATTCTCAAAGTTTTCACTTTTGGATAGATTATTTGCAGATACACTTCTCACTTCTTCAATATGCTATATAATAAATACTTTCTTTGAATTGATCAACAATAAATTGTGTGATATTTGGTTCCAAGTAACAATCTACAAGTATCTTAATTTTAGGATAAATTGTCAATATATTATTCATTGAATGAATTTCTCTAATCTGCTTTTATACTGTCTTTGTTTATGTATTTTTCAGTACTACTAATAATAAATTTACCAAGTTCACTTAGGCTTGTATTTTTTTTTTTAATGTCTATGTTACATACCCTGTTTTATTAATGTATTTAAGATTATTACTACAAATAACTATATACACTATATTATTTTTAACAAAAAAACTGAAATGTGGCTTACCTAGTTTTCAATTAAATCTGTGTATAATCTGCCAAAGGTGAGTTTTGCTTTATTAGTTTGGTTCTAAATTCTATGAAATAAAGACTCACTCTGAATTATTTACTAGCTTATCATAACTACCTTCTTTTTCAACCTTCTTCTCCTAGCCTTCTAAATAGAAGATCTACCAACAAACAACAGAAAATTTAAAAAAATAAAAGAAAATAAAAAAGGTGAAATAACTAAACTAAACAAAAACAAAAAATAGATATTCTATAAAATAGGTGAGCAATATATAAAATAAACTCTGCTAATAATTAGTAATCATTAATAAATATTTAGCGGAGTTGTGGAGTTTGCGGAGTTTGTCCACCTATTCTATAAAACATCCCAAAAAATAAACAAAATATAAAATAATAAAGATAAAAGAAAAAGGCCACAAAAAAGATAGCTATGATAATATTATTCTTCCTGTGCCAGGCTATAAAAATTATATAATATTGCATAGAAGAAAATCTAACCTAATACTATATATTATAATAATAATATAACAGCATAGTTATGTAATTTGTAAAAGTATTAACATTTTCTAAAATAAATAAATGAAAATTATTATTCCTATTAAAAAGAATTTTCAAAAATCAGCATAGTAAATATCTCACTAGTATAAAGAAAAAATGATAACTATAATATCTTCTAAAATAAGAAAAAATATTGAGTTGATCTCTCCATATTTCACTAGTACAGAAAAACCTATTTATGTAAGTGATCTTTATAGCTGTTAATTTATTAACTATAGTAATAGCTGGTACAACAAAATTAGACTAGCAAATCCTTAATTTTAATTGGCTAATAGTTGAGAATCTTCAAAATTTTGGACAATTGGAGACCTGGATCAATTGAGTTTTCAAAAAGACCACAAAGATTGTATATAGAGTTGCTAGTGTATATTAAATTTTTATGGTGCACCATAAATAATTTATTAAATTAATATTTATTTTATAACTATAATCTTAGCATTTATTCTTTCTCTAAATTAAATTTTACTTAATTTTATAAATTTTATATTTAAATTTTTTATCTTTGTATAAATTTTAATATATGAGATCTTTGCTAAAAAAATCACTCTTTGGGATTTTCCAATCTGGCTCATTTGAAAAAGCTTAAACCAGAGTGCTGGTTCTTATTCAATATAAACCATCTTTTACTTTACTGATTTGACAGTTTATTTAATAAGCTATCAAATAAATAAAGCAAAGGTGATTTGCATATAAATAAGAACTGGCATCCTGGTCTAAGATTTTCTGAATTAGCCTGATCGGAAAATTCTGAAAGGTGATTTTCCTAGCAAAAATCTCATATATCAATTAGGACTTTTATAAAGAATTAATTTAATTTATTTTTTTTTTTGAAAATTCGGCAATGTTGTCTCTACTTTATTAGACTTTGAATATTATACTGAAAAATATTAAAAATTTTCAAAAAATGAGACTCTAAGATCAAGTCTTTACAATGTCTAAATTACAAGTATTAGCTCACTCGGCTCTTTGTGACCAAAGTCCAAATTACTTATATACAATCTGCTATAAGCAGAATTTTTCTCTGTAATATTTACTCCTGCACTTAAAGAAAATAAAACTTCACCAAAAGGTTTCTGCTGGCCTATAAAGACTACCTATTCCTTCTTTAAAACTTTTTCTACCTAGATCTGGGCAGAATAGTTAATCTCTTACTTTTCTATAAGAAAAAACAAATATACTACATTTACAAAAGAAAAAAACTATATTTAGGAAAAGAAAGAGAAAAAAACAGAGAAAAGAAAAAAAAAAGTAACCAAAAAAAGATAAATCCTAAACAGAATTCTAACATAATAGAAAAAAGATGAAAAAAGCAAAAAAAAAAAATAGAATAGTCCTGATGGGCACATCCAAAGAAAGAAAAAGAAAATACACTATTATAACCCATGCCAGGTAAGTATAAAAATTATATAACAAATACAACATTTGTATATCTCTATTGTAAAGCTTCGCCTTAACATTTGATTTGTCTTTCTGACCTTCTGACTAACTCCAAATAACTACATCATGCCCATCCTAATTTGTATCTCAAGCCAAGTGCTGCCGCCGTCTATAGACCTGTATCTCAAGCCACCTGCTGCAATTATTAGGGCTCTGTGCTGGGGCCCAATCCTAATGTGCCATATCTATAAAACACGTGGTTGCAATTCATTAGGTTGTCTGAATTTGGAAAGTAAACAATGTCGATCTTTTGGAGAGGGTAAGCCAAATTCCCCACTTTTACAAAAAAATTTTGAAAGACCAATAAGGAAGCGAGAAAAAGTAAAGAAGAGAACTACTTAACCAAGTAAAAGAGTATGGCTTGGAAAAACTAAGGTTTTGTTGTATCCTCTGTGTTTTTTGTTAACAGTTGAGTAGTTTCATTAACGAAGTTGAGCTTTGCCCACACTCCACCAAGATTTTATATACAAGGGCGCCACCTCCGGGTTTATTGTTATCTTGCCAGTTAATTTGTATAGTAACGCTCCTGACTTGCATGCCAAATGTCTTTTAGGGGAGTCCTGCAGAGTAAACGTTAATCTCTAGACAAACTACTACATTGACCACGACACTCCAACAAAAATTTTGTTTTTCTGTTAGTGGGAATTTTTGGTTTAAGTGATCGTTGGAAAGAGTTCCATCTTAAAAATAATTTTAATTAATTTAACTTATTTTATTACTATATTGTTTAGCACTGTATATAGTATTTGGGTCTTATTCAAGAAACTATTTTTAAAATTGAATAGTACCAGGTACTATTCATTAATCTGGTAATTTTATTGGGGTGAAGAGTATTTTATATAAGATACTTTATACAGTGCTAAACGGTATTAGAATACATATTAACATGTATTAAGAAATAATTAAAGGTTTAAAAAACATCAAATTTGAAAAGCAATAAATAAAAAATATGCAATCTAACTAACACTATATAAGTCATACAGAATAAGTGTTTATTAAGGGTTTAGACTTTAAATACAATTATAATGTTTATTGAGTTTTATATATTATCTATTTAACTAATAACTCTACTACTATCTTAGCTATTCCACTTTATTAATACAATATTTCTATTCTTTATCTATAATTTATATTCAATTATAAATCATAAAAATAACAATAAAAAAGGTATAAAATATTTCTACTATACGATTATGATATAATTATTATATATTGACAAAAATTAGCACAATAATAGTAAGCGATCATTTAATTACAGTAATTTAATACTTTATTGTTACTATTACAAATTTTTTACAAATTTAAATAAATACATATAAAACTTCAATTTCAAATTTAATATAACATATAGATTTATTTATTTATTTTTTAAAATATCATCTAAAGTCCAACTAGTAATACTTTCAGGTTTATCTATTTTTTCTACTTTATCTGACATTATAAATTCATCAATAATATCAAAATTAATCAACTCTTCTATGAATGAATCTAGATTTTGAAGAAGTTTTTTGAATGTAATTAAACTCTAACTTACTGTCTTCATTGTCTAAAGAGAATAATTTATCATAGTCATCTAAATTATTAATATCTTCTTTTTTTTTATTTACTAATTTTTTTAGTTGAGTTTTTAGAAGGAACTTTGGTAGATAATGCAAGATTTATTTGTGAAATTATTTTTAATGTTGAAGGAGCTAATCTGTTTCAAATTTTTGTTTTTGTCATGCCTATACATGAAAAAAGTTGCTCTACTCCAGCAGAATGAGAGCAAATTGCAACTATTTTTAATGCCAATATTTTTAATGCTCTAGCTTGATAAGAAACCTGTTTCTAATATAATCGTGGTTCTATAATAATCTAACAGTTTTTGTGAAAATTTCATGGCTTGTTTATATGTAAAATTTCATACTTGTACAAAAGTTAATACATAAACAACTATATTATTAAAGGTTAGTTTTTTGATAATGCAACTTTGTAAAATTTTAGATTTAAAAAAAATGCCAAATAATATATAGGCTCATTAAATTCTTTTGTCTAAAAATTAACTATATCTTTTGCATAATTAATTAATCCATAATTGAAATCTCCAAATTAATTTGAACTTAATTTTTTATAAATAAATAGTAATTCTGGAAATATATTGCCTAAAGTTGTATTATTAGATTCAAGTTTTGCAATTGTATTAACTATATAACGAAGAACTATAGTAAATTGTTCATTTTCAAGAAAATGTTGTCTGCTTGTAATTATTTCTTTAATTTTTGTTAGAATAGAAGGATATTTGTTAGAAAAATCAATATTATAGTCAAGACAAGCTTGAAAACCTCCTTCATGATCTTGAACTAAAAGACAAACTTTTGAAAGTGAATACTAATGAGTTTTGCAAAATGTTTGTAATCTATTTTTAATATTATTTTCTAATGCCCATCATTTTAGCTTTGCATTCCAAAAAATGTGAACTAGTAAAAAAATTTACTAATTTCAAATTTTTTTTTAATTGTAGGCTGATAATTTTGATATAATGAAATTTCTTTTGCTATTAAATTAAAAATGTGCAAGCAACATTTAATATCAATAACATGATAATATTTTTTAAAAATATCTTGTCGAAGTCATGCCATTACTGAAGAACTATCAGTAACTTCAGCAATAATGTTATTAAAATCTACTGAAACATTTTTTAATAAATTCTCAATTGTGACAAATAAATTATTTGCAATATGTTGATTACTAAAAAAATTCTCTATATTAATAATTTTATTAATATCTTCAAATTTATGTAAAAGAAAGGCATATATAGAATTGCTAAATATATCCATCCATCCATCAAATAAAAGAGTTAAATCGCACATTTTTTTAATTTGATTAACTATTTCTACTAATATTCATGCATATTCTAACTAAATTATATTATTTGATAATACATATCTTGATGGTGGCATATAGCTTGATTGTAAGTTCTTTAAAAATAAAATAAAAAATAGGTTTTTAATAAAATTAAATGGAATATTGCCATATATAAATGCTCGTAATAATAAGGTATGTAATTCATCAACTTTTACTAATAGTATAGAAGCTTTATCAAAATAATCGGTCATTAAAACTGGTTTATGAGTAGAGATTTTAGTAACTTGTCATCCGTGAATAAAGTATTCTATTTTCAGGTAGAATATTACGGCAAGTATTAATTATATAATTTGTCATTGTTTCTTTATATGCTTCAAATATTTAATCACAGTATATGCACTTTGCATTATATTGTCGATCTTTGCTATTTTTAAATTGTCTTGAACACAAAAAGCCTGTTCAATATGTACCAAAATTTTTAGATAGAGATATAAAATCTTTATTCAAATCTGACATATTGTCATCTATAATATCTTCAGGATTCATAATATCTTTGGGATCTATCCCTTAAGCTGTAGAGTTTGTGTAACAATTTTAGCTTAAAAATAACATAAATTTAGTTATGATCTATTTTTTTTAATATTTAAAATATTTAAATAA